GGAGAACTTCACAAACCCCATTACAAATCAGTTTTATAAGCATATGCTTCAAATTGCTATGCTTCCCACACTAGCTGAAAGGTTTTTGAGCAAACTCATGAGCAAACTCCATGCCAGCATATCTTGTTATTGAGTAAACATGTTGACTACTTAACTGACCATTCCTTTTTCTATAATCATATTAATTACAATTCTACACAGACCTGTAGACAATTCATGACACATTTTCCACCCACAAAATATATATACACAACTGAACACAAAGCCTATGTTTAAAATAATCACATATCTGTTGCATTTTTGCTGTATAGGTACCTGTCTATAAAACATGAATAATTTGATGTTGTGAGCCTTGTGCCCAGATGAATGCTTGTGGTATTGGTGTTACAACAAGGAAATTGAAAATTTGTCATGCAGTTTAGGGAACTTACACCTAGGTAATGTTCAAAATGTAGTGAGATGCCTTCAATTACTAAATCTCCATTACATTGAAGAGCCATATATTCTTTTGAAGGACATTATTAGGTACCTATTTACATTAGAGCTAGGTAGGTAGTTACCTGCATGTTAGCATCTTTCAATTTTATTCTTTATCAATCAAAATGAATGGAAAATTTAAAAAAAAAATAAGTAGAAGTGATCAGATAGGATAGGTAAAGCAATTTCACAATTCATTTGACTTTCAGTTTCAGTTCTCATCAAGCCAATTAGGTTGGGTACCTACCTACTTACCAGCACCTCCATAATCGCTCCCCAAAATGCCCCCTGCCACGAACCTCTTATGGAGAGTTTATAGAAGTGCAGGCTGCAGATTTCCGGCCCATGCAGAGTTTTCATTTCTTTGGCAATTCCTTAACTCCACTTGGAGCTCACAACCATTACCACACCATCACATCACAAAATATAATGTGAAAGTCCTTATACACTTTGCTTACACTGCACAAGACACACATCCACAGCACAGTTCAGCAACTGAAGCGAGCTGTTCACTGTTACAATTATCTTTCAAATCAACTGACACCAATAGCTGGTTACCACGCAACGCGCTAGCAAATGGCGTCAGCTTGCCCCACGAATGGCGGTTGCTATGGAAACCAGCTGACGAAACTTTACCAGAACCCATTTTCGAACAGGAGCTTTGTTAAGGCGCCCCAAGAATTTGTGCGCCGTTTTTCGAAACATGCCCACCACTTTCGCAGTTTTTCATCCTACATTTTACCTACACGGTGTCTCATGAGACACAATGTTAATCCAATGGGAACTGTCTCGTGGGTGTCTCATGGAGGAGATTTGTAGGAACTGTTTTTGAAGACACGTAAAGAAATGTAATGACCAAATGCCGTTGACAGCTGATTGTACCGACCAATTGCTACCAGTTAGCTGTTTTTATAGTCATTTTTGTACAGAAAACACAAACTGAAATCTGTCTCGCGGCTACCCTCTTCGGCTCTTTCCTGTCCCCTACATTGTAGGCAAGTAGGAAGGTTTGTGCACCTCTGTCCCGACACCTCCCTCCCCTCTGATCGTCTCTAAGCAGCGTCAGCGCTCGACTTCGTTCCCACGACTCCTACCGTCCCAGGGGCGTGACTGGCCCTTTTACCGCCCCCGCCCCCAGACTGATCTCCCCGCAGTGCTAAACTCCCCATCGATGACTGTGTGAGATCGCCTCCTGCCGAGAGCCCAAAGACGCCACCGGGCTGCCGGAGCGGCCTTTTTACCGGGCCGGAACCAGCCGGCGCGCGGGCACGATTTATTAGCGTTTGGCCCGGATTGTCACCGGCCTCAATGGGGTTCGGGAGAGCCGGTGGCAAAAACGCACCCGGGTGTCGCACCGCGCGCCTGTCGCCCTAGGAATGTGTGGGTACGGACGCTTTGATCACGGCGACGAAGCCACGCAAATGAACAGGATCCGAAATTAACCGTGCGCCGCACTGTGCCGCTTCAGGTCAAACAGCGTCACACAGTCGCCAAACATTGGCACCGGAAGACGGTATCGGTCATAGCTCGATTGAGTCAATAGGCCAGCACCCGTTTCTATAGCAAACTGTCAGTAATTGCTTGGTTCGCCGATGGATAATTGATGTAAGGACAAACAGTCGTATTTTGGGTCAGGCCGGATCTTCCCAGACAGGGATGTCCTTCTGGAATGAGGGCTAATGAAAATAGTGGTTATTTGCATTATGCGTCGGAAAATAGTCCAATGATGCCACAACTCACACGGTGAGTTTGGAGTTGATGGGTGAAACTAATTAACTTACTGTAAAAGTTTGCGTATGTACGTACATTGTATAGAGTGTATACCAATCGAATATAGATATGTCAATGTATACCAATAAGAACATTTCACCTTGGTGATGTCAGAACAGCACAGTCATTATTGCACTGTCTCAATGTCACTGTGCCAATATGAAGTTCCAGTTTGACAAAGTGTGCTCGACTCGAATTCTTGACTCGAGACTTGAGCTGGAGTTGACACAATTATGTGATAAAAACGTCATACGACAGCGTCTCTGAAGGACAAATACACAAACGAATGAACGATAAAAAGCGACGAGAATGTCCTCACTCATACATACGTTTGTCAGTCTGCTCTTTCATTCATTGTTGCATTCATTCGTGTGACAATAAACAGATAACCACACATTTTTTACAAACTCTGCTTGAAAATCCTCCAAATCGTGTATGTTTGTGGACGCCTGAAGGGCGGTGCCGGGGCCCTCTGAATAATAAACACATGTCTCTTGTCCATCGTGACACCAGTCACAGAGATCAGAATACTGTGCGGAGCCGATTCTGGCGATAGTCGGCTTTCGAGACACGAGAGGCGGCCGGCACAGCGGCTCTGGCCTTTGTCAGCTGCGTGAACAGCACGCCGGAAACTGCCCCATCGCTTTGATCTCGCCGACTCAGACACGACAATCGAAGGAAATTGCTGAGATTTATCAAGCTGCTGGAATATGTATACGTTACAGTTACTTTTAAATGCATATTAATGTGTAAATATTCAGTGCGGGAATTACGTGGCGTGGGTTGTCACGCAATGATGATTGTAAAGCGATTGTTTTAACAAAATAGTTTTCAATCTTTTCGTATTCAGCTGTCTCTGTTAGCCTGAAACATCGCTGATTGATCGTTGCCCCGATGAACCCAGTCGCCCAGGGTCGCCCGGATCGTCGTGCTAAGGGGCCAGGGCCGCTGCGGTGCGTGCAGTGTGACATTCCACTCCCGCATCATCCAGCCTTCATACCGCTCACTTAGGCGTCTTTCTAGTGTGTCAGAGCTCTAGCCCGAACAATAAAGCACCGGAGTTCTCGGACCGAATTACCGGGAAGTCGGCGTGTGGCACCCCGGGGCGATCTCCTCACACCACCACTGGTGACAGATGAGATGTGACAGCCTGTCACATAGTGACTGCCACTGACGGCTCGCCAGGGGCCGCTGATGACAGACTGATGGACTCGCTACGCCCATGCAAAGCCAGACAGTGCCAGAGCAGCCGCCTGCGACTGCCCCGCCTCGCGCCTTCGGCCGCCTAACAGCCCTTCCAGGGATCGTCCCCTCGCCGTTACGACCTCCCCCGTCGCTTGGGACGATGGACTCGTCCAATCGTCCGATTTATTATGCAAATAAGTGCCATCGACTGTGCTGATCAATAGCGAACCGGCCCTGATACGGCGCCGCCGCAGCACCGCTCAAGACTCACTTTAATTGCACAACTATGTAAATAAACGGGCGGCACCGTGCACTGTTTTGCCCTGGGGCGCTGTGCACAGTCGTGCACAGTGGTGTATTTGAGCGGCGGATTGCCGCCTACAGAGAAACCAGAGGCAGTCGGATCTCGTCAGATTGGTAATGTTTCTGCTGTCTTTGGGGTGATTGGGCACTGGGCAGCATCTTGTCAGACTGAGTCATGGCAGGTGATTATGTAGGTGGGCTCTTGTGCCCTTTTGTATTTTGAGATGATGAATGCATAAATTGGATATGACAATGGTGGGTGAATGTAAGCAGATACCGCGGTAGTGTTATTTTTACCCAGGTTTGCATTGGATTAAGTGTATCCAGAAAACATGTGACTTGAAAGGAAACTGCAACATTTGCATTGCACTGCATCTGGCGAAATCTTTAGCTAACATCCCGAGCCATCGACCGCGTCTGGTAAGGCGGTACAGCCGTCCAAACACAGCCTCTGCATTCGTCCGTCATTTAGCCAAATAAACAGCACGTCCTGCTTTATAGCCGATATAATCACCGCCCGCCCTGACTGATCATAATTTTAGAGACTGCATATCTGGTGCAGGTCTTAACAGCCAGGCAGAAGGCAGCAACTGCGCATCGTCTTCCACCCACTCAAAAACGTCCGGTGACACTGCCAGGCCTTTGGCCATCGCCCCGATTGCCGCTATTCAAAGCTGGGGCGCAGGTTATTCTACCATTTGTCACTATTCGTCGTTTAAAGTGCTCAACAGATCGTGGCCGTCGGTCGGTAGCTCGCCGTTCGATTTGTCTGGCAGCACTTACCAGCTCGCGGCTGACTGCCACATTCCAATCGAGAGGTCGTTAGGTCAACAGCTGGTCTCTGGTGATGGTGGGGGTGGGGAAGGGGTGGGGCGTCCTCCCCTCCCCTCCCGCTGACCACCGTCCGCGGGGGGGGGGTGATAGGTGGTGATAGGTGACCTCAGCAGCTGCGTGAATGTCTCGTCCTCCGGCGGGGGTTAAACGACGCGGATGTTTGTAGTGGCACTCGCACCAGTCTGTACGACACAGGTGTAACGGCTGTCGTCTAGACTAGCTGGACCTTCCCTTCCGGCAGACGATACGTGTCGTCTTGGCTGGAAGACCAGACGGCGGCATACAGTCTGGGGAGGCCTGCCTCATTCCGACTGACTCTAATGTTCCTATACACATTGTCTAGGCGCTAGCTGCGCGATGCCCATGATATGTGGCACACATAGGGTGGGTTGATTATCATATTTTACCGCTTGTTATCTGTCTATTTTCAGGCAAGGATGCCCGAGCATCGTTCCCGGCGCGCCCGGAGGAATCGGCCACTGACGAGCGGATCGCGCACATCCTCACCGAAGCGTCGCAGGCGATGAAGAACGAGAGCGTCGCGTCGACTCCGTCGGGGGACGCTGGCGCCGGCGAGCGGACCAGCCCCGGTGCCGCTGACAGGACCAGACAGGTGAGGGGCCGTCTCCCGACTCGACCCGATCTGACCCGATCGAACTAGACCAGATTCATAACTTACCCAGAAGAGACCACGATCAGGCCAGAATCACGACACGACACTCCCAAACTAAACTATGCAGACCAGAATCATGACTAGCCCTGCCCAAACCAGAATCACGACCAAAGCAGACCAAAATTTTGACCAGTCCAGACCAGACCAAACCAGCCTGACCAGACTCCTGACCGGTCTCTTGAGTAGACTCTGCATACATACTTCAGACCAAAATGCAGACTTCAGTCTCCATGATGGTTTTTCAAAAAGGCCTGACCGCAGGCTAAACTATATGTTCATATCCAGACAAGACTTAAGGCAAACCAGCCTGCCGAACAAGCCGCTCCTCTAGACGGGCCAGGCCACTCTCCACCAGATAAGAATAACTGAGTGAGAGTCGGATGGACTAGCGGACCCACCGCCGCCAAACATTTCACACAAACCGGTCAACATGGTAAAAAAACATGGGATCAAATGCAGATTTCACCCAACATCTTTGGACTTTTTTTCGTGGCACTGCAGAGTCCAAAGAGATTTAGATGTTTCGTGATTTGCGAAGGGCGTGATGCAAATGTGTGACGTTGGTTGTGACAGCGAACAGGAAACTTCGTGCATGTATATCTCAGATTTAATTTCCAAGCTTGCTAACATGTTTTATGAACTAATCCCGGAACTGGTTTCTTAAGCGTAACTTGCTTGGTGGGTCGTGAATTGCATGCATTTCTACGAGTCGGCCGTTGGAACTTCAAAGTAAACTCGCTTTGTAGCTTTTATGTGCAGGTGTCCATAATCAACCGCATACCAAACCAGCTTCGGGCTCAAAAGATGAAAACTAACCAGCATAATATCCATAACGTTGCGGTATTTTACAGAAACAACGCAATTTGGAACAAAACAAACGGACAATGCTAAGGCGTAGGCTTATCGATGCGACCTCTCCATTCCTCTTATATGCGTCTTGCTTTGAATTAGACTTGTCTTGTATTCAGGGGGCTAATGTGCAAAGTGCATGTTATGATTGTTATGAATGACCCTACACTACGCACAATGGTCCATTGCTCCAGTTCGATGCTCAAGGCTCAGTGCTTCTGCCGAGTCGATGGTTGAAGTGGATAGGGTTAAGGGTTAATTTAACACCCAGAGGCTGTCACGTGTCTGGCGTTAATTAAACTCAGCTCTAAACGGCCCGAGAGGAAGAGCCAACATGGATCTCGGATAGATGAAGGACAAGGTAGCGCCGAAACGGCAGGCACCGCAATCCCTGTGTGCTTATATGGACGAAACGCACAAGATCAGACGGGTTTCGCCATTTAGCTGAAGTCAAACGGCACCTTGCTCACGCAAACATGGTGGTTTGTAATTGTCCTGTAGCTAAGTCTTGTTGGCCATTGCAGTTGCAAGGCTAGGTGCTAAAACAGGTGCGGATAATTGAATTGCTTAGACTCCAGACGTTCAGCCAGCAGTTGCATTTGAATTTATTTTTATAACTTGTCTATAATTAAATACATTTTGCACTGTGTACAATGGTGATTGCATCGGGGAAAATTGTGCCACACGGTCGTGCAGAGGTGCTACAATATGTTCGGTGAGCGATTCAGTATGCTTTTAATTATTAAGTGTAATGTGCAATGTGCATTGCACATATGTTCACATACATGTATGTAAGTTTATAAAAAAAAATGCATTCAATAAATCATAATATCGACACCAACAACCCTGCAAACAAAAGTCAGAACCTTGTATAACTACTGATATTTTCTGGCTCGCAGATTTATGTACCGAAGTCTGCACACATTTGCAGCATGAATTAGTTCGTTTATTCAGCTGTCGATAAACGAATCATTAGTAGCTCATTTGACCGACTATTATTGATTAGCTAATTATCCGACATCAAATCACTTTGATAAGACTGTTAGGTGGTTTGGAAAGATCAGTGCAACGTTTTTGCAGGACCTTACCCACTACGCAGTCACTTTTAATTATTTGTTTAGGTAGGTATCAGTTAAGACGCCGAGCTCGCATTCAGCTTTATCATGCCCCACTCCCACCAGTCCATCGTATCGCGCCTCTGTCCATCGTTTCGCGTCCCGATCCATCGCAACGCTCCACTGTCCATCGTATTCGCCGCCTCTGTCAATCGACAATCGCATTACGCCTCTTCCCAAAATTCCATCGCATCATCTCTGTCCATCGCAACGCCCCGCTGTCCATCGTATAGCGTCTCTGCCCATCGTATCGCGCGTCTCTGTCTATCGTTTCGCGTCCCGATCCATCGCAACGCGCCTCTGCCCATCGTATCGCGCGTCTCTGTCTATCGTTTCGCGTCCCGATCCATCGTATCGCGCGTCTCTGTCCATCGTATCGCGCCTCTGTCCATAGTCTCGCGCCTCTGTCCATAGTCTCGTGCACCCGCACCATCGTATCGCGCGCCCGGCACCGTGTCGTAGCGGGCGACATCGATGCAGCTCAAGCTGCAGTCCATCGATTGTGTGTGGCTTCAGTTGTTCTAATCGGGTGATTAACCGGGTCGTTGGGCGCCGGCGTCACGCCAGTATATCACACAGAGGTCAACATCACGCTGCCGGCATAGGACGACCTCGCGGCGCACGATAGTTAACCGCCTTGAGAAGCTTAGTAACGATGGTTTAATGCGCGGCCCCGGGCGGCAGGGGCGGCCGACCACCCCCGGCCCACGGCGCCGGTGGAACATTACGAGCCGCCACTATTATTACCGATCAAACCCGGCACTGCGCCGGACGCAGCCGATGCAATTCTGCCCTCCGATAGCAGGCTGGCCGACGGCTATTTTAGTGTTTGCTGTTCGATTGCATGTGCGGGGCTATGTTTTATTAGGGCTCAAGAATAGACAGGAGAAGGATGGACTAATTGAACATGATGGCGAACGGCTGCGTACAACTGGTCATTAGGGCCGATATCAATGAACAAACACGATACCGAAAGCTATAGGGCAGTAATGGGACCCCGAACCTGCTCCGATAATTAATTCAGCTGTCCTGCTTAGACACTGGACAGTTTACTAATGGCAAGGCAACGCTACTGCCAACAACTTTCTCTGTTTGGTTCATCGACGGACATCGGTGTGCTGTCCGTCCATCCAGTACCTAATTTCTGTCGATAAACTTATGCCTTCCGCGCTTTCCATAAAGATCATAATCCAGCTCCAGTCCATCCCGGTCGCACGCCCCGGACGGCAGCTACACACCGTATCACCGACGCGATGTCGTATGTCGTCTGTGACGGCCGCTGTCGGCTGCCGGCCACTCGTCTGAGCTATGTCCCGCTCGGTGTCCAAAGAAGATGGCGGTTGTCTGGTCACGCAGCGACAGTCTGTCGCGGCAGAGACAGACTGATCAGACGGAGATGTGACACGGACAGACCGACCGACGGACTGACACGGACGTCGTGGAGCGTCTCTGGCAGACGGTATTGGGTTTTAATTGAGTTCGGGTGATTTGGATTGATGGCTGGACGGTGGACCTGGGAACTCGGCGGGTATCCCGAGGATACGATCAGACTGGTCTGTGACAGACTGGTGAGGAGGTCTGGAGTCTGGTATAGATTTGGATCAGAGTCGTCCACACCCCTTGCCGCGACCCCGCTAGGAGGGACCACTAATGATCTGTAAGATACCTCGACCGAATTCCAACCGAGAATGAACCACATCGCAGAGCTCGAACCGTCGGTGGTAACCTCACGGCAGCATCTGCAGGCCACGAGCAGACATCCCTTCCTAACCCAAACTCACTAAGGTAGCACCACATCTAAATCAGCCCTCTGCCAGTCTCGGTGACCACAAGCCGGTCAGTCGTGCCACACGGGAGCGACGTGGTGTCCCGCAGCAGTGGTCGGCCCGTTCCCGCTGTGGCTGGGCACATAAAGCACCCGGGGACGCCCTCCTGATACAATCGGGACCGTTTGTCGCCCGGTGTCGGCTGGAGAGCCGAGCGACGCTCCGGTCACTTCGACGCCTCCCGAGACCTGGGCAGCGATTGTCAGACGATGTCGAGACGATGTCTAAGGGATGTCAAGGCGACATCGAAACGATGTCGAAGTGATGGTGAGGCGATGTCGAAGCGATGTCAAGGCGATGTCTAGGCGATTTCAAAGCGATGTCGAGGCGATGTCGAAGTGATGTCGGGCGCGTGCGATCCCTTGATGGATCTCGTCTTCAATCAACAATCGAACGAGTTGGATAGCTGGAGGAATCCACACCACACCGACAAGACTGAGAAACGCTGTGCACCTTGGATGATGCTGCGGCAGCTGTAGGGCAGACTAACCCGCTGTACGTATCTCGCGACAGCCTGTTCATTGAGGAATGCGAGGCAGGCTCAACGGTCACTCCGAGTGGCTCAAGTCTCCAGCAGACTGTTTGCACCCTGAGGCCCAGAGTTAATATCCCAGTCTCTATCTCGATCGGCCGTGGCATCGTGGAGGGTCTGGCTCTACGTCACTTTAAACGGGCGTGCCTCTGTCACCTCAGCGAGCACGCGCAATGAACACAGTCTCAGATCGAATAAATACCCGGCCGAAGAATGCTGCCTACCGTCGAGCCGGCCGTACCCAGGTGAGACATTATACAGATTAACCCCGGACGCCACGTCGTTAACTATAGAGCGACCTATCTGCTCATCGAATCGGTCGTCTGTATGCCGTCCTGCGTTCCTGAGCGGCGGCCGGCCATGCCCAGCGATGACAGTCAGTTACACGCTGGTAATGTATGCTGACAGGGCGCGCTGTCCAGTGTCTGCCGTCTGGCTGGACCGGTCGGTAATGTTAGCCGATACGCCGGTCGGGATGGTGACAGGCTATGCTTTGTCACGGAGTGGACGTCGGAGGAGGCGTTCGGTTCGAGGAGGGATTGGTTCTTGGAGTCGTTCGACGCGTCGACCGGGAGTTGGGCGTGGAAGTCGAGCCTGCAGGGGTCGTTCTGTTTGGTCAGGGTTGATGCCCTCCGGCGATGTTGCGTGACCTTCGCGACCCGAAGACGGAACCCCGATGCCTCGTCTAATCGCCTTTCGTCTGTCGACCCATGTTTCCAAGTTGGCCCAATAAAACTCATCGCGCAGGATTTACTGTGGCGACTTTGTCAGCACGCGGCTGGCAGCGCTGCTCAATATTTCCTCGCCGTTTCAACTTTCGTTTTACCGGTGCCGAGTTGGCCGCCTCCCTGGCCGCCCGTCACGGCGGTGGTCGGTCGCCGCTGTGATTTACAAACGCGCCCCATCCATAGATCGGCTCCGGATGACTCGGGCGGTCTTTATCGCCGACGTAGGCCGGTGCTCCTCCAGGGCGGTCAAATCGCACTCAATCAGACTTTATACCGACGCTGGCGGTGATGGTTGAACCGCAGCAACGCGGCCACTCGTCGCCCCCGCACGCTCTCGAGCCTATCAGTCGTATCCCGGCCTGTCTGCCCTTCCCTGTTCCTCATTGAAGCTGTCGAAGGGAGTACGCGTGCCGTCCTTCGCTGTGACTAGCCGGCGGCGACGGCCGCTCGGCTCGCCTTGACTGTGCACATTCGTGCCGGCGCACTGCAGCCGCCTGTAATTTACAGCGGCCTAATTAATTTACTGTGCCATTATGTATGATTGTCGGTGGGTGAGGAGCGCAGAGGTGGTCGCCAGCTCGCGGCGGGGCGTCCCGACCGCCCTGCTGGGGTGCAGTGCCGTACTGGTGCCGCCGGCTCGGGACGGACCGGCTGGGGACGGTCACATCGCCAGCCGGCCGGGCTGCATTCCAAATGACCGGCAGGGGGAGGGGAGGGGAGGGGGAACTGGAGCAGACGATCTGACGATAGGTACAGAGGTGCGAGCACCGACCTCGTCGGACCGTGGAGATCAGCTGAAAACGAGACACGCAGGTGAAACCAGAAAAACGCGTTAAAGACGTGGACTTTAAGCGTCAAGCTGTCAATGTTTCGTAACTTAACTCCTCTTAACGCGTTTAGCGCATCCTCATGTGTCGTGTTGCTGTTTAGAACTAATGTAGCCTTGTTTTGCGCTCCCATACCCCAAAAGGTCGACGCGGTCACCTGAACTGACCTGAAATGACTTGACCGAATCATACGCAACCTTGTCTGGCAGCACCTGACCTCATTGACCCAGCTCGCAGCTCCTGACTCTAGTCGACCTCACTGACCTCCCTCATCTAACCTCGACTCTGTCCTGTGTTTCAGTCTCCCCAGGCGGACTCCCGGGACCCGTTCCAGCCCCTCCGGCGGCTGGGCGGCGGCGGAATGCCCGGAGCTGGCCCCGAGGAGGTCGCTCAGGAGAAGATCGCCCGGCTGTACCGCGACCACCTGGCCAAGATGATGGGCCAGCGGCCGGAGCTGCCTCCCGGCTTCCCCCTGGATCACTATCAGAGGTGAGAGAGCCGCCACAGATTTGGGGCTTGGCCACCCACAGAATTGAGGGAAGATGACATGAAGAACACCAAGCAGGCAAAAGATGAGGGTGATTTAATGGTCATGGCTGACAGTCAAAGCAGAATAGACCTCCAGAGAGTCACACGTGTCATCAGACTTCAGGACCGCTGACACGGGCTCACACGACCGCTCGTGCACGTGCACACTCCACCCGTGTGGAAGGGGAGGAGGGGGGCGACTGTGACGTGTACTCAGCACCATGAGGAACGAGCCACTCCTGTCATAGAGCTGAGTTGTGGCCCATCGGGTGGTCGGTGGGGGGCGGCCGATGGGGCCGATCGGACCGGGCCCGCCGCCACCCAGACCGAACGATTAGCCAGCGGAGACGGCCGGGGTACCAGAGAGTGATGGTGGGCTGTGGTAGGTAGGCGTTGGTGGGCCCCAGATCACAGCGCGCGCGAGTGTTGAAGGAGGGTGGCCGCGCCTGTGGCAGCGGCTGATGAAAGGTTATTGCGGGTGGCGGTGCAGAGGAATGTGCAGTGCAATGAAGAACGGGGTGAGATGCAGAGCAGTGCGAAACGATAATAGGACGCAATGTGGAAGGACTGGGGATCCAAGGAGATGGAGCATTTGGGGCAGTTGCCCTTCCGCAGTGTCCGAACTTGCAAAGAAAGTTTTCGCTCTTCCAATGCTGCTCCACAATTATGAGACATTATGTCAGTGTTCCACAAAAATTATGTCAGACTACACGATGCCTTCATTCATTCGTTTGACCTCGCCATATCAACCATCTCATCACCTGCCGTAGGTATACCTCACCAAACCCTGACCTCCCCAGGCCCTAGTCCACCTCCCTCATTAGCCCTCTGACCCCCCCCCCCCTCTCTCCGACAGGCTCCGGTCGCCAGAGGAGCTGCGGCTGGCCATGGACCTGTACAACCAGCAGCTCATGTCCCAGCTGCACCGTCAGCATGTCGGTAACGGAGGACCGCCGCCGGAGTCACGACGAGACGAAGCCGACAGAGACGGCGGACGGTCTCCAGCCTTCACTCACGTCCGGAGGGAGGAGGATGGCTCGACAGGTGAGGAGTTGGTGCGGCCTGACCTGGCCTGACCTGACCGGACGTGAGGCCTGACCTGAACTGACTTCAAGTGGCTATGGAGAGGGTAGGGTTGTCACCAGCGGACAGATGATGGGATCAGTGATCAGTCGAGTTTCGTTAATTTGTTCGGTATGTCGCCCGTGCGTTTGTGTCGTATGACCTCCGTTCCGCGTCGCTCGTCTGACCCAAGCCCGTGCCCTCCGTCCGATGTCCGCTCGTCTGATGTCTGTCCGTCTGACCCCGTCCGTCTCTTTTCAGGGGGCGGCCCGCCCAGCCCGCTGCCGCTGCCTCCCGGCCTGCTGTCCGGCCTCCACCCTGGGGGCCTGTTCATGCACTCGGCCGCCGCTGCCGCCGCAGCCGCCGCCGCCAGCTCGGCGGACGAGCCGGTCACCTCTGCCAGTCCCCTACAGCGGATGGCCAGCATCACCAACTCTCTGATGAGTAGCGCAGCGATGCCGCCGATGCCGCCGCACCCGACCCGGCCGGCCAAGGCGGTGCTGCCGCCCATCACCCAGCAGCAGTTTGACCAGTACAGCAACATCAACACAGAACAGGTCGTCAAAAGGGTGAGTACTGGAGCCGCTCGGGCCGTGAGAGGCGTGCTTGTGCGATATTCTGAATTTAGAGCAGGATGCGAGGCTGTTATTAAGGCAACATCTTGCCTTTGGTGTTTTGGCATAGCTGCTTTTTTAGTGGAAGTTTCTTCATAAAAGGCGAACGCCGTAGGCACAATTAAACTCCACTCAATAAGCGCCGGGTTGGCTGCTATTTTTCACTGGGATGTTGACAACATTCTTAACTGATTCTGGTTTCTTGCTACATCACCTTATAACATTAGCGTTACGTAATGCAAACAACGAAAAACAGCCGTTTTTTACAGCAAATTACACTATATTTTCACTATAAAATACCGCAAAGTAAAACGCAGGTCTACCAAATGTTGTTCCACCATTTCGCCCGATAAAGCCCGTTTACCCACCACCATGCTCTCTAAGACCGTCCATCTCTATTCCCCAGATCAAGGAGCACCTGAGCCAGTACTCGCTGTCCCAGCGGCTGTTCGGGGAGTCGGTACTGGGCCTGTCTCAGGGCTCCGTATCCGACCTTCTGGCGCGTCCCAAGCCGTGGCACATGCTCACCCAGAAGGGTCGCGAGCCCTTCATCAGGATGCAGATGTTTCTGGAGGACGAAGGTGCCGTTCACAAGCTGGTGGCCAGCCAGTACAAGATCGCGCCCGACAAATTGATGCGCACCGGATGCTTCAACGGCGGTAAGAGGCCGGGTGAGTTGTGAGATGTATACGCTCACCGGCCAAACACTGGTGACTGATGGTGAGCGACGCTCATATAGACCAGCGGCGTGTTGATATTTCGCGGTAGTGAATCGGTGCCGCTGCAGCTCAGTACGGTGATTCCGCTGTCCGGGCAGCCAGTAGGCCGGTCCCCGTCTCTGCCTGTCGATATTGGCTCTGTGACCATTGACGCAGCCCCCGATGTGTGGGGCTTACCGTGACCGGTGGGCCAGCAGGGGTCGGCCGTTGTGAATAGGTCACCGCTGGTCTCATCCCCTTCGCCCACCCCCAGGGCTAACACCTTTGGTCAGGCCTGGTGGGGGTCGGTGTGACCCCCTATGGATACATCGATCCCACAGAGCTGAATAGAACGCCAAGCGTGTGGTAGAAACGCACTAAATATCAGCGATTTATGCCTGGAGAGATTGATCGCAGTTTTACGCAGCATTTGAAGGCGGCACTTATTTTTCTGCACGAACACACGTAATTTACCCCGCACAGAAACTTTGCTCTATTTCCTGCACACCCCTGATCGTTTCTCTCTGCCATCAGGCTTCGCCAAGCTGCCGCCGAAGGCGCCCGAGCTGGCCCGTACCCTGGAGGCTCCCCTGCCTCCGGTGGTATCACTGCCTTCGTTCCACGGCCTGCCGCCGGCGGCGCTAGCGTCGCGTCTGGCCGGTCTCGACCCGCTGATGAAGTACGGCCTGCGTCTACCGCCGGTGCCACTGCCCATGTCAGTGTATGAGACCGCGGCGGTGACTCCGGAGCTAGACACCCTCACCATCACCACACGTATCAAGGAGGTGCTGCTGGCCAACAACATTGGGCAGAAGGTGAGCGGTGCAAGCGAGACAGAGACTGGATCATATAAAGTGGATCATGTAAACGGTGACCGGATGAGAATAGACTCAGAACACACATGTAGAGATGCATTGATGCAATAATAGCTTGCATTGTACTTCAGTCAAATAAGATATTTTTACTTACATGGAGTGATACTATGATACGATAAATGACCGTTTAAAGATCAATGCAGTGAATTCGCTGACTGGTTCGACGAGCTCACGTCTCCCATTCTCTCCTCCTGCCGTTTTCATTTCCCAAGAGTTCATTGATATCCCAGTGTGGTCAAATCTCGGATATTCTCAAGCAACTCTGCTACCTCGCCCCGCTCCGCTCTGACCCACGGTCTGTCTGTTCCAGCTGTTCGGCGAGGTGGTGCTGGGTCTCTCCCAGGGCTCTGTCAGCGAGCTGCTCTCCAAACCCAAACCCTGGCACCTGCTCAGCATCAAGGGCCGCGAGCCCTTCATCAGGATGAAGATGTGGCTGGAGGACGGCCAGAACATCCAGAAACTGCAGCGCATCAAGTCCGAGCGAAAGGAGTCGAACAAGCGGCGCCGCTCGAGGCTCGAGCTCCCCGTCGACGGCGACAGCAGTGATGCTTACTCTTCTCTGGCCAACAGCCCCAACTCGGCCAAGAAGGCTCGCGTGCTCTTCTCCGAGGAACAGAAGGAGGCGCTGTTGCTGGCGTTCGCCATGGACCCGTACCCCAACATGACGTCGGTGGAGTTTCTGTGTCAGGAGCTGGGTTTGACGCAGAGAACCATCACCAACTGGTTCCACAACCACCGGATGCGGCTGAAGCAGCAGACGGGCGGCGGTGAGTCGGCCGTTCCGCCGCCGCCGCCGGCCGGCCGCGAGGGAGGGCACCTGGAGCCACTGCAGTTCCGACTGCTGCTCGGCCGGCGGCTGGCGGAGCTGCGAGCCGAGCGCGGTCTGCCGCCGCAGCTGCCGCTCGCCGGTCTCCCGCTGCCGTACCTGGTCGGCGGGGCCGGCGCCGGATCCACCGACGGCCTCGACGAGCAAGTGGGCGGCCTCGACCTCACCATGAAGTCTGACGACGGCGACGGCGACCGGAGCAGCAGCGCCGGCAGTGGCAGCGAGGCTAGCCGATCGGCAGCCAGCAGCCCGGCGCCGGTCGGCACCGACGCAGCCGACGGAGACGGAGACCCAGAGCCGGCGCCGAGGTCGCGCCGCAAACCGGCGGCTCCGCAGTGGCTAAACCCCCAGTGGGGCGCCGAGGAGCCCCGGCCGCTCATCAATGGTGTGTGCGTGCTACAGACGGACCTGGCCACGGCGCGGCGCGGCGCCGACTCTCCCCAGCCGAGCCCCGAGCGGCCGGCGGACGCCGCGGAGCCGGAGCTCTCAGAGCAGCCGGAGCCGGAGCCGGAGCGGCAGCCAGAGCCGGAGCAGGAGCCGATGGAACAGGAGCCAATGGAGCAGGAGCCGGCCGCCGCGGAGCCCAGACGCGACTCTCCGGCCGCAGCCGCCGCGGAGTGACGTGCAATGTGCGCGCAGGTTAGCCGTTAGCCAAGTTCAGTTGCCAAGGCACTTGTCAGGTGGACACTAAACCGGTCGGACGTGCGGAACTGTGACCACAAAGTGGTCCGGCGGGGCGGCAGTCTCCGGCGCTGCTGCCCAGCGTGAGTGGATAGCTCAGTGTTCTTCTCATCCCATTACGCACGTCTCTGTATGTGTACGAGTCTCGTATGTTTGTGTTTGTGTGTGCCGGAATGCTCGCCAGTGTTCACATCTGGCGACATCGGCGGTGCCAGTGCTTGGCCGCAGTCGGGTCGTTATACCTTCGTCTGAATTTAGTGAGCTGTAATATTAATTAACTTTAAAACCGGCTGGGCGGTAGTCAGACGACTAAAGACAGCGGCGGAACGAGCCGGCAGACGGGCCACCGCGTACAATGTGTAGTATGTATTCACTCGGTGTAGTGGACGGCCAGTCGCTGCGCGTCCCTGCTGCCACCTGGCGACAGGTACGGACACTAGAGCTTGGAGCTCCGGCCACCGGCGCCGCCGCATGCACCTCTCACGTTGTTACTGTGTGCGTTTGACTGTTGCCTTATGCGGTCGGCAGTCGGAGATGACCCGACCCGACCTGACCTGACCTGACCCGGTCGTGGCCCTTTGTTGCGGGCTCTTGATCTCCGGTCCCTGGTTCAAAATCCGGTTTCGCACCGGTCGGCAATTTACCTTTAGTGATGCTGTTTTTGTGTGTTTGAGAGCGCCGTGTTCGCGTGAAGCGAGAACTCAGAGCGATTCGGGCCATTCGGCAGCTCACAGTTCGTGGGCAGTGTGAGCGAGCCCAGTCTGTATCCAGTCTGTATCCAGTCTGTATCCAGTCTGTATCCAGTCTGCATCCAGTCTGAGAGCAGTCGCCGTCTGCGCCCAGTGTGATGTGCGCAAACCCAGTGTGATGTTCAGCTTAGTGGCACTGTGGCGCCCTCTGTTATAATGTCCCCACACCAGTCGCCGTCGTAGGCATGTGTAAGATAATATCTGATCAGCGTGTAAACTACATCCGGGCTGTAAGCTTATCTGAAATACATTCACCATTGGATGAGCACGGTCTGTAGCCTGTGGCTAATGAAATGTTACGAGGAGGGGAGGGAGGCAGAGGGAATGACAGAGCGACAGAGATGAACAAGTAGAGCACTGAGTGCAGAAGTCAGCAGGGAGGTTATAAGTGCAAAAAAAAATGTTTAGAGGCGATACATGCATAGAGTGCATGCCGTTGCTAGTTACTATGCACTAATAACGACATCTGCGTGGGTAGATTTTCTACAGAAGCAACTAGCAATGCAGTGTTCACCCACTACCGAGTTCCTATCGTGCTTAGTTCGTACTCACTTTCGGACGAGTGCTCCTTTGGCTTCGGTCTTAACTTCTTTGCCTGTGAAAAAAGGCATTAATTTGCCAATCGCACAAAGAAGCACACTGATCGTGAAATATCTAGGCCCGTGGTAGTCAGTCGCGATGAATACAGGTTTGCATGTAAAGGTGGCCTGACACTTGCACGACTTTGGGCCACATTTCGAGCCATCCGTGCGCTAAGTGGGTACACGTGACAGTGTCACTGAGAAGGTGCGGTCACCTTGCAAAGCCCACCGATTCGTGAACATGCCGTGAACGTCTCGTGAGCTCAAGGGCGGATCCAAGGGGGGGGGGCAACGGGGCCATGCCCCCCCCCCCAAGACGGTCAAAAATAAACATTCTCAAAGTTCCTATGCTGAAAAACTGAAATATTGCTTTGATGATTGAGTGACCTTGGGGCAAACGTGAAAAACTCTGCCAACCAGAGTCAAAATGGCCTGTGCCGGCGAAGGTTAACATGTAGGAGAAATTGACATGATATCATATTGTTATTCGCATTAATAGGCACGTGTTCAGTATTGTGTACAGAGGCCTCTTGCACCAAAATACCTAGCTAGGTAGAACCGGCAAAATACCTACCTAGTAAAACTACCTACGGCGGTAACTTCTCTTGCACCATCCTACCTTCCTACCTAGGTAAAGTTGACAGCTCGCGTTTTTAGGATTTGTTTTGATTGGCTGTTCGACGACGAATTATTTGTGGGCGCAAACAAATAGTAACTAAAGAAAACAATTAAATTGATATTGTTTTTATTAATATACATTTTGGTATTATGAAATCATTTTTCATTTACGTAAATACCGATAGAAGTTATTTTGATATTAAATTACTTGAACAAATAAGCTTCGTTTCCATGGCAACGAGTGAGTCTTCAACCTGACTGTTCTGCTACGGAGGTTTATCGCCTTGGTACGGAGAAGCACCTCTGTGAACCCATGGAGCATTTGGTCAATTATATTATTATTCACTCATAAAACATTGATTTATCATTGTCTAAACATTTTGTAATGCCTAATTTACATAAAAGTACCCGTGGATTATCGTGTATTGTGCCTATTGTTTCTAATTGAATCATTTTACCTAAGGTTTTGCTAGTTATTTTGGAAGCCCGCGTTTACCGTCAAACCGTCAAAAATTTCTCCGCGAGTACTTCTTTCCGGCTTTCGGTGCAAGAGGAAAACAGCCGGTCGGAGTTTAACAACTGGTAAGTTCCGATGCCGCTCGGTAGAATTTCTAGGTAGATTTTCACGGTAGCGTTTTTTGGTGGGTAGTTTGGTGCAAGAGAATTTAGGTAAAATCGGAATTTACCTAGGTAAGTAGTTTGGTGCAAGAGGCCTCAGGTTGGTTTTAATTGCAAATTTGTTGAAAAATAAGATTGTCATTAGACACTTTTTTAAAGAAAAAGGTATTTTCAACGTTTGCCATGGCCAAATGTGTGATTCTTGTCAGAAAACTGAGGAGTGATCATAACAACACTGAGTATAATCAACTTCAGCTTGAGTGATTTCAGAAGCTTCTTAACCCTCGCACGACCAGGCCATTTCTCATAACACGAACGACCAGGGGGGGGGGTTGTTACGACCCCCCCCCCTGGCGTTTCGAAACGGAAGGTCGTAGAGCTTAGCGGAAAAAACCAACGGATTGCTCTCAACGAGATCTCGCGATTGGTGGTATATTTCTTGGTCCTAGGTCAACATTTGACCTACTTATGACCGGTCAAAGGTCAAATTTTCCGAAAAAATCAAACTTTTTTCAACTTTCCGCGGCGATTGCGGCAAAACGGTGGGAGATATCGACTTGAAACCTTCACTATCGTGTTCCTTGATCAATTCTCTATCGTTTGGTATGTATTTCGTTTCCCTAGCTCTAAAAATGGCGCGTTGGGAGCGCCGGAAGTCGGCAAGGTCACAGTCGGCGGCAGAAATTCGAAAAATCAAAATTTAAATTTTTGAAATCTGATTGTATTTTTGGATTTGGGAGGTCCATTTGCTCCCTATAGAAGCTAATATTGCTGCATATTCCCATTAAGGTGACAAGAATTAGCAAAATAGTGGTTCGGGCGCTTTTCAAAAATAGTACCGGACGCTGTTCCTCTTGTGACGTCATAGCTCCGTGACCTGACCTGACCCGGTCAATTTTCCTGCACCACACGATAGCCAATGCTTGCCCCAACATGCATGGGAAGTTTCATCATGATCCATCAAACAATGTGGGTATCACCGGCAGAAAACCTAGGGATTCGGCGCACACGTTTGGTAACTGTCGGCCGGAGGCTGTACCTCTTATGACGTCATAACTCCGTGGCCTGACATGACCCGATCAATTTTTTTCGGCAAAAGATGCGCAAAGGTTGCCCCAGAGGGTATTGAAAATTTCAGCCCGCTACGACAAGCCGTTTAGCGTGCACTTCGAAAAAACCTCAGGGGGGGGTTGATACAACCCCCCCCCCCTAGGCGTTCTAGGGTTAAAGGAAAAGGGCCACCTTCGTGAAATATGAAGATATCGTTGTTTTTCATTTTGACATTATTATTTTTCATTTTCTTTTTAAAACTGGTGCCAGAAGTGCACAATTCGCGAAAAAGTATTTAAAACTATTTAACATATTGGTACTATGTTGATACTCTCTACGGCACCTACTGTATGATGGCATAGCGATGACGTCACACTCAAGCCAATCAGCGTTCAGCAGACAGACTCGTCGGATTGTGTCAGATAAGATGATTGGTTAAAGCTGAGCTGGTTGGAGCTGATTGGTAAAAAACCAAAGCCTCGCCGCGGGTGGCTGTATTGTCGGATAAGAACGCATTCCTGGGATAAGGACGCATTCCTGGCGTATTTTCTTTTAAAATTGCCGATAACAACGAATGGAGGCCGAAATCGCCCGTAAGGAGGTAGACACTAGACAGGAAGGTTTTCGGACACGGGCTACAAGATGGCTATCTCAGTTTCAATCCCCATGTTCAGGCATCGGTAGGATTGTGATTGCAGGATTGCAAAATCCTGATTGCATTCCTTTTTGGTGGATTGCACCTGGATTTGAAATCCATTCCAAAAAAACAGGATTTGATTGCGGATTGGATTGCATCATACTTCCAATTTTTGCAATCCAATCCGGATTGTGTTTGATTAGTGCTTTGAAATGGTTTGTTGCGATTGAAAATTATGAGATCGGCTTCATCGGCTTAATGTACTTTGCTATCAAGGGCTTTACATCGAAACTTGAAATAATTTAACCCTCGCCGGACCTATTGGTTTTCTACATACGCGCCGGCCGAGGGGGGGGGGGGCGGGTACGACCCCCCCTCGCCGTTTCGCCCCTGGTGGAGCTAGCGCGTCGCGGTAAAAACGAGCGTGTGCGCCTTTACGAGACGCAGAGATCGGTACCCGATTTTAAGGTCCTAGGTCAACCGGTGACCTCTGAGGTGAGGTCAAGTGCCCCAAGGTACGGTTCAGTTTTTGGTGAATAACTTCGCAAAAAACGGCCGCAGAGCCACGATTTTGGCAGCATCGTGTTCGCCTCGCTCAGGCGCGTCGAATGATATACTTTTTGTTCGGGTCAGGTCAACTTTGGGTGTTGACCTCAGGTCAAGGTCAGGTCAGCACCCCCAGGTCGCAAAGTTCGTCGAAAGAGGTCATGTCGCATATCATTCGATTCGGCAGGTCTTCCTGAGTCCATTGGTGGCTTTCCTGACTCGCTAGCTCAATTTGATCAAGAGTTATTGACGAAAAACGAATATGACCTTGATGACGTCATAAATGACGTCACGCAAGGTCAACATTGCAAAAGTGACGCACCTAACCTTGCAAGAAGTTCATCAAATCACGATTCTGTGTGCTTGAGATAGTTGGAGATCGTTCCCGGCGCCAGAATAGCAGTTTTCATTTTTCCCCATTGACTTATAATGGTGAGGTCACGAAAATGACCTGACCTCAAATGACCTTTAGGAAAAATCCGAGATATACAAGTTGTGAGACTCATAATGGATACTAGATCCTGCAAGTTTCATTTCCCTGTGACATCTCCTCTGGCAGTGAGGGCGTTGCGAAATTGCGACATCTGGAGACCGTGCAGAGGTTCACTTATGACGTCATAGGTCAGTGACCTGACTTGACCCAAAAATGCCGTTGGTGTCAAAAGATCCGGCTTGAATCAAAGGTCAGGAATGCCAAGTTTCAGCTCTCTATCGCCAGCGTGTTGGGAGCTATCGCGAAAAACCCTATGGGGGGGCGGCACCCGCCCCCCCCCCCCTTCGGCCGGCGAGGGTTAAACACTTTTACCTAATTTAAACGCTCAAAATAATATACGCTGATGAACTACATAGGAAGGGCAAAATTACGTATTTGAGGGCGAGTTCTAAAAATATAAAACACTGGTTGGGTAGAGGTTTAAATGTGGGGTTGTTTGAGGCAAAAAATATTTCCCATAAAATATCTGTGCCTTAGATAGGAATTACTCGCAAGACTAGGTACTAGAAATGGGTGATTTGGGGATGGAGGCACGGCCCTATGCCCCCCTCCCTCCCCCAGATCCACTAGTGCACATAATAATACAACAGGATTGCAAAAAAGGATTGCGGATTTGATCACCATCCAAGTGAAAAAAGGGGATTGCGGGTAGGAATGCAATCCACTTCGGCACTAGGAATGTGGATTGAGAATGCAATCCTTCCAAAAAGGATTTTACCGAT